TCAATAGGTGATAAGGGTAGAGACGGTTGTAGGAGGAGGAATACCTGGGGATTGAGGAAGGGGATCAGGAATTGTAGTGAAGTAGTAGTATCAGGAGGTTGATAAGAGAAGGTGAGATCTGGGGAAGGGCATATGACAAAAGGGATTCATGTGTGTATCCAGGAGGGAGTGGAAGGCCAGTGGGGAATGACGGGGGTTTGGTTTGGGTGGCGGAGAGAACGGGGTATGTTGGGGAAGAGAAAGGGGAATATGAGGAGGGAGAGGATGGATGTTGACAGTCACTCACATTATAGACGGAGTTGGGATAGAAGAATTGGATGATGGTTGAGATAGAGAAAGAGAGAAGCACTTTCTTGAGTTATGTTTAGGTAGTTTTAGATGTCCTCAAGAGTTTCTGAAGAGGAATTGGGTGGGAAAGTTTGGGAAATGAAGGAATATTTCAAAAGGAGGTGTAGAATAGATAGGCATTTGAGGAGCAGAAAATGTAGCTGTAGGTGTGGATGTAATAGGTGAAGATGGAGTGGAACATTTAGCTTGTCTGGTGCTATGGGAATGGTGAGGAGGAGCAGGCATGGGGAAGTTGTGGACATTGGAGTATCTGGAATTAGAATGGAAGAAAGATTTGATTGGGAGACTAGGGTAGAGGTGGGAACATGGTTCTTGCAGGTAAAAGGTGATGAAATTTAAGACCATTTTAAGGCTTATTAAGACTCATACCAATTACTCTTTAAGACCTGGAGCCACTTGTCCCTAAAAACACACTTCCCCATAATGTGTAGGCCTACTTGTCACATCAATGATCAAAATAAAAAATTCACCCTGACATGACCTTTACACAGCCTCTCAGATAGATTACGTGCCATATTATCATTATTAGCAGCAGTAGTAGTAAATAGTCGCATCAATCAGCAAAGGTCATGGTCTAATGTGTTGCAAATAATTTCTGATCAAGCTGCAAAGAGATCTGCAAGTGAGTGAATCGTGACAGCATCCACTGGTATCAGATATATGTACATTGCCCGAGGCAAACTTCAGACATTGTAAGACGTGTTTTGAAGACTTTTTAAGCCGTTAGATTTACAAAAAAATATTTAAGTTTTAAGGATGTGCAGGAACCCAGTGGGAAGGTGAGGAGTTGGGGGAAGAGGTACTGTGTAAGAGGAGTGGAGTGATGGATAGTATTGGAGTAGGGAGTGATAGGAAAACCTCATCTACATGTTTCCTTTCTGGCATCTTGTAGAGTAGGGCCAAGTTTGTATCTGAGAACTGCTACCTCAGACTCAAACTTATAGGCAATTCCAATCAAATACATTATGGGAGCCACTGCAATTGGCACATGTACGTAAATGTGCAGAGCATTTTGTGGAGTGGCAAAAATGTCAACATTTCTGACAATGATGGGGGAAGAGTTTGATATGCAGTAAGAAAGTTGGATATTACTACCAACCTGTTGTTGAAAAAATGCACATGTGACTGCAGCCTTAGTTGCATAGCAAAAATGAAAAGGCATCCCGTTATATTAAGACAGCACAATTTATTATTCTGGGTTTATTGAGGTAGTTTCATTTCATTTTTGTATATGCGTTCCTGATTTATGTATTATTGTCCTTCAACTGTTTTAACCCATTCATGCCGGTATATTTTGAAGCCAAAAATAAAATATTCCGGGCGGCTACAAAATCGGCAGGCGGAGCTTCCCTGGAGTCTGTCTGCCCGCTGGCTGCGGCCCGCTACTGCGTCGGAGCACATTCCACGATACAGCATCACACTGGCGGGACGCCCGGCATTTTTTTGGGGGGGGGGGGGGGGGGTCTCTCATATATGGGACGCCCGTCGCTAATGGGTTAAAGGAATGACCAAGGGAGCAGCAACAAAATTGCACTAGCTTATCTATTTACCAGTATATTTATTAATGACCCGAATCTAGTAAATTGTGATACTGATTCTGAAAGTCCCTTCCACTAGAAATTAATGTCTTTAAGGTCTAGGCTGACCCTCCTATTACCAGGTGAGTATACAAAGTGTCACTGAAAAAAACAACAAAATTAACTCTAAAGTAAAAAAAATATCTGGTCTAAAATAAAATCCAGGGCAAACTATGGTCATAGCAGATGTGGATAAAATTTGTTACTGGCAAGATCTTAGCTGCACCATTATCCTCTGTATTCAAGGGTTACAAGATCATCACAAACAACTCATAGATTGTACTACAGAACTTTAGTGATTGTCTTTCCCTTCACAGTGGCTCATTGAGATTTGTATTCATATCAAAACTCTCATAAATACCTGTTGGAATAATAGTAGTAATCGTTTTCTCCTTTGGTGCTTCTGTGGGGTGAGTGTCTGCTTTCTGTTGAATCAACCATTCATTCTGTGTCATAACCACTCCTAATGAGGATGTGCAGATGGGAAGCTTTCCAATGGGTTCTTCAGGATTTGTGGAAATGATGTTAGGATCAACATTCTCTTGCTCAAGGTTTTCTTTGTGAGCTGGAACCTTGAGTACCTTCTTGGCTGGCTTATTTCTAAGTTCTTCCTGCTTTATTATCTGCAATGAATGGGTTGTATCATGAACTAAGATCCCAAACAATAGCAAAAACACCAGTTCATTTTTTCATTACTGGAAGAAGGTAAATATCTTTATTGATTCTCTTGGTGAGATCAAATGAGTCTTAATAAAGATAATGATAAGTTTAACTTCAGTGAAAGGCCATGTAAACAAACAGATGGTATTGAGAAGGCTCATCAATAAGACCTAGTTATTATCCCAGTGAATTATACTCCTCAATTACAATAGAAATATTGTTTTACCTTCTATTCAATACAAGAATCAAATAAATCATTTTTTATTACATCTTAATTCTCAATACCCTAACATCAATTCATTTGTGACAATCACTGAACATCAAATTTCCCTTCTTTTACATTCTAAAAGAGAATGGGAGCCTCCTTTTCTACTGTAATTCTATTTCATAGTCTCAGTACTGCTTGGAAGTTAAAGGTAAGCTGCATTTTCACTGTTACTAATAAAGTCCATAATAAAAGCTCCTCGTGAAAGCTTTTAATACTAACATGGAGTCACTGAAAAGCTAATTTAAACCAGTGAATACCCTATCATTTTCTTTAAGACCCTCAGCTTTTCCTAAAATTACATATTTTGTCTGCTTACTGAAATTCTGTCTCTGAAAAGTGAGTTGATTATATCATATACAAACCTTATAAGATCTAAGTTTCAGCAACAGTAACTGGCATGACATTTTATAAACAATTTGACATACAATAACAGTGAGGCATATATTTCAAAAGAAATAAATTAACCACAAAACAGTCTTACTGTATTATCTATTCCGTATGGAATCCTAACTCTAATACCCAGTATACTAAATGAACTTCTCATTTATTTTAAACACTGGATCCTAGCATATCAAATCAACTTACATCGTGAATCACCAACAGAATGCCATAGCTTCCCAAACAAAGGGATTGTAATACTGTCTTGTTTTCAAAAGATTAAACCATCTAATAGTCCCTTCACAAACAAAAAAATCCTCTGCTGCTGAATTACTCATCTACACACGGAGATAAAGATAGGGTTTATTGAACAAAGCTTTCACTACGCTTTGTGGTAAATAAGTCATAAAATCATACAAAATGAAGATTAGCTTGAATAGAAAAGACATGTGCATATCAACACTTGATTTGGGTTGCGAATTTCTAAAGTTCTCAGGTATAGCATCTCACACTTTCTTGAATTTTAACATGATAATCAATATAACAGTTTAATGAGAATTCTCAAAATTCAACATCATACAATTTGTTACCAGTTTTGTAAATGGAGATGATGACCGTTTAGATCTATATCACAGAAGTATTATCATGATCAGCACTGTGAAAATTAAAGTTGCTATGACAATTATCAGAAACTATCCATATTCTACAACAAGCAGAAAGTTCCACTCACAACTCTGTTCCGTTTGGCTGCTATCTGAACACTATGTTTTGCAGATATCTTGTCATCAAGGGCAGAGATGATCCTTAATGCTCTCCCAGTATCTGTCAGTTCATCCAGCCTAGGAGCGAGGTGGCCAATCCCAAGCAGACGGAGACATCTGAAAAGTTTGTTGACTTAATCTTGTTGGTCTTTTTGCCTAATGAAAATTTTTAGAAAGATGAATAACTTTGTTTTATGTAGCACAAGCTTACAAATGGCACTAGTGATCATGTAAAAATGGGAACCATTGAAAAAATTTTTTTGGACATACTTATAGTTCAAAGTAAACTTCAGACCTGAAAAGTACCACCAGCATCTCTAGACTGTAAAATGATCCCTTTATTCTGAATTCTCATATCAACACAGAAAATTACTAATTTCTGAAACTGCTTGGAAAATAACTAAAAATACTTGAAGTGATGATCCAAAAATGATGGTAAAATCAAAATCAGTCCTAAAACAGCACTAGACAAGCCATCAAACTGGGTTGTCACATTGTAGCCAACCCCCGCAACCTGCAGTGCGGCATACTTCCCCCAGCATGGGTCCAGGTCCACAACCGGTCCTCTCACACCTCACCGTCAGCGGCTACTCAAAGATGAATACCAAGACCTAATTGGTTAACACCGGACACCTCATTGCTTGCCTATTGGACCACAGTACTGTTAAGCTGACACAGCTTAACAGTACTTAAGCTCCAGCACCTGGGCTGAGATCAGCACTCACCGATCCTCCATACTGAGCAAGACCACAGCAAGCAGCTCCAGGCCCTAGATGCCAGGGGAGCCACACCATCTCTCCCCTTTGATCTCTAGCAACACCTCCAGCACCCAGCCATACCTGTGGGTGCTCACACCAACACCAAACACTCCATAAAGAGATAACAGACCAGTTAAACAAGGGATGACCAACCATCCTCTATAAAATCATTAAAAAATCTGGCTGAGTGGTAGGTAATAGGAATGTCATGGAAAAATCTGGCTGAGGGCAAGAGTGATGGCATAATCTTGTCATGAAATACTCTTTCCAACTGGCAAGGATGTCTTACTATAACTGCACAAAGATCTCGGAAGGATATTAAACTCAATGGGCCTTTAGGAAGGGCCTTTTACATTATTTTCACAAGCAAACAAGGGTGGAATGTATCATCTGTGAGCCATGCTTGCAAGAGTACCAGATCCAAGGAAGAAACTATTTCCATGCACCTGCCTTGACTATTGGCACGCGGTGTTATGGAAAAGTGAATATCAAGAAAATATGTTCCTAATTGTTATTGCATAGAAATGTAGAGCACCTGAAGAGTTAATACAGATAATGCAGAAAAGTGCTAATACTATAGCAAAGAGGCAAGGAGTCTTGATACTGCCTATGAACATTCGTGTCCGTCTGGCCTGCAAGAGTCACACCTGGGAGAGTTATATCAAAACTCTAGTTTAGCTGCAGGTCATCCATCTCAAATCAGAACAAGTTTCATGTGGATTTGCATAGAACATAGGATATAGGTTACTTACAGTGACAGGGAAATGGACACTGCCATTTTAAAGAGTGGAAGAAATAGAACAGGATACAACATAGTTTCAACAGCAGCGGCCTCATATCAACTGCTAAATGATGAAAATATCCCCAGCATAGCACCACTCAAATTCTAAGTCGCTCATATTGTTTACCTTGCCAGGCATAACTCAACTCGTTACTAAAATATCCCAAGTAGTTCATGTGTTACTATGCGCTTGTCAAAATGATATTTAGCTAATTATCAGTGTCTTCTGTTACACATCTATGCTTTTACTACTTATCAGTGTCTGCTGTTGTATATTTATGCTTTTAAAGTCATTTATTAATGTTATTATACTTCATTTATATACAAGTTTTAAGATTTATCTATACAGTTATAATAGAGTGATCTGCGCATCATGCATTTCAGACTTTCATTCACCAGCCATGAGATGGCCAGTGAAAAATGCTGCATTTCCAATGTTGCATTGATTCTGGGTTATTCATAAGATTATACAGTGGCAGCAAAGAAGTAAACTGAAGTAACCATCCCACTTTAATACCTGAGTCCAAGTGCCCCAAATACCAAAAAAAGGATTAAAATCAAAACAATGCTGATAGTAGAAAGTGAAAGAAAGTTTGACGTTTCCAGATATAAAGGTATTTGGACAATTCTTTTAAAGTGAGAAAACAGGTCTATCTTTCTGTACATACTGAAGTGAAGAGAATGTTTCCCTTGGGGGTGTTGACCCCATCATCCCTCCCCTCGGACAGTGCGCCGAAGGGGACGCCTAGTCACTACTTAAATGGTTAGATTAGATTGGTTAATTGGTCAGTACATTTTCTTTTTGTGTGTGTGTGGGGGGGTGGGGTGGATGGTGTGAATTCCCATAGATTTCACCGAAACATGTTGGATTCCCATAGTTTTTTAAAATTTTGGCTCGGTCTGTAGAATTTCAGATATGGTGGGCATGTCAATTGGGTTTCATTGGCCAATTTCTTTTTTTTTTTTTTTTTGCTGGTTTTACCCATTTTTGTTCTTTATTCTTCTTATTTAAGCCTGTTTTATCCCATAATTTCTCTGATATATTTCATGCCCTCCACTGCTACCTGGACAATCCAATCAAGATTGTCGATGGAGAAATGGTTCTTGTGTCTCCTCAACAGTTTATTCACAGAAAAAACAAGAATTGATGATATCATTGAATTTCATGCAGAAAAACAGCATTCTTTATTAACTCTGGGAAGGTGCATTGCTATCAGTAACAATTACAGAACATAACCAGAGAAGTCACTTTAAAGGTTGTTGAGTCTTTAAGACATCTACTATCAAATATAATGTAATGGACAAAAAGATAACAATGAAACATTATATATGGTAATTTTACAAACTAGTATTGCATAGTCGATAGCAACAATTTTGGTATTGATGCATTCCTCTCTCTCTCGTATCCAAATACATGAAAATTGTTACTCTATACATATTATCCCCCCCCCCCACAGAAAAAAAAACAAGTTCATCAAACCATTCTATAAGCTAAAACTAATTAAAACAAAGCACAAGGTATAAATAACTAAAGGTCCTATTTGGTTAAACGAAGGATTTATATTATAATCACGACAGAAATTTTCATTGCATTTGCCTACATTTTTTATTGAACTCACACAAAAAAAAAAATACATCCAACGTAAGCCACCTCAAAGAATAACATAGAAAAATCCTCACTTCTGAACATGTTGTAGCTTGGTCTTCACACAGCTGGTCGAGGAAGTGAAGTCAAAGCAGTTGTCATACACACTTAACAGCCGCTGGTACGCTCTTGCTAGGGCTTCGGCGTTCCATTTGCTCACAGACGCACCAAGGTTGGTCATCAAGTACTTATCTTGTACTAGAGACGCAATTTCCTTTTCTAAAGCGGACATTTTGGTGAAACTTCTCTCATTCCTTGCTCTTGGTCTCGGATTCCTATGTTTTGAATTGGGAGCACTGGTATGCGAGAGAATGATTAGGAAGA